TCCACAGGCGGCCCCGTCCAGGAAACACACAGCCAGGCAGAGAAGCTCCGAGCCAGCTCCCATGTCAGAGGATGAAGAAGAGCACATCCAGTTAGTCACAGTCAGAGAAACAGGACTACACTGAAAAACAGGCCGATTTTCAACATCTATACACAAAGGTGTTGATGGTCGCAGCACAGCTGATATTTCTCTCCAGGGTAAAGGCACAACCAAACAGGAACCGACCAGATGAAGCTACTATGAGAAAAAACAGAGAGAAGATACGATATTTCCCATTGTTATGTATAGTAGAGGTGATGCTGTGGCTATCTTTTCCATACAAACATCCATTTAACCATTTTACAGTTCATGTCATCCTAAAATATTAAACAAATCAGAACAATTTAAATTAGAAATCAGATGCACTCCACAAAATTCAAAACATTAATATCAACACAGAAATAGTCAACCCTCAAAAATGTAATTACCTTTTCTGTTTCTGTTTTAGGATCGCAGCTCAAAGACCTAAATCCTCAAAAAACAGGTGAGATGAACTTTTACGGAGCGTCAGAGAGTATCCCAGATTAAAATAATGGTAGTTTATCTGTTTTTGCACCAAATTGTCAAACTAGAAGGGAATGGGATAATTTATTAGTGTTTCTCTTTATTAAAAGAACATATGAAAAAGCACAATCTTCAGCTAAAGGTCATACAATAAGGGAGAAGCAGTGAAAACAAGGATTTCTCCAAAACTACAGAGAAACACAACTTTGTATTGTGAACACAAGGTGGTGCACTTTCTCTACTCTAATCAATCTGAAAGGCCAAAGTTTGGTCAGCTTTGTTCTGAGGTATTGCTGGAATAGCTGCAAGTGTTTTTTCCTGCTCAGTCATTTTAAAATCACCGCTTTAACAAGGCAGCACCAACAGACACTTTGCCTCTAATTGGACCATGACACAATGGGAAAATCCCTGAGTTGTCAAACAGTTCTATCTGATTTCCAACCACAAAACACCAGCTCTAACTGATCCAATAAATGTAAGCAACTTTAAAAACACAAAATTTTTGGAACCTGTATAGTCTGTTTGATGTAGCTTGTTTTTTCTCTCATTTTGGAGAAAACTGTTGTTCTGGACTGTCCCAACCCATTGGCAGCCATAGAGCCTTGTGGGAAAATCCAGCCGTTAGTACATCTATTAACTACAAAGAAAATCGCATGAGGAAAAGTTTTTATCTCTAAGGTTAGATTTTCATGAAGAAAAAAAAAACACTCCTTTAAACCTCCATTAGAATGAATGATATAAAGTCAGGGAGTTTTGATTAATCATCTTCCCAGATTCTCTCCAGAGCTTCCTTGGAGTGATGCTGATGCTCTCTGCTCCTCAGGTTTTCTGAGTTGAGAGACAGAAAAAAAGATTGATTTTGTGTCTATTAAACCACCTCTGTTTTGATTGAGCTGCATCTTTTGGATGATTATCTCATTATAAGACCCAGTTAGGAAACATTTTGAATTTTCTGGTAGAATTGTTCAGATATTTAAATACCTCAAAGTACTACAAAAAAGAAAAGCATTAAAAAAGAAATACATAAAAAATAATAATAATAATTACAAAAAAATAATAATAATAAAAGCTGTTTTAAAAAGAGAGAGAGAGAAAACATCTAAAGGACACCAAAAGTTTTGCTAAAAAGAAATGTTTTAAAGCCTTTTTTAAAACACTCAGTGGATTGAGGTGTCCTCAAGGTTAGTGTTGCACAAATACCAGTATCGGACAGGGCCCGATACTGCCCTAAAATGGTGGTATCGGTATCGGTGAGTACCAACAAATAGGGCACCGATACCATTTTGACAGCCATAAGTTTATTCAACTATTGTCACCCACTCCAGGTAGGCAATAAAAAGTTCTACTGGATTCACTTTGTATTAGATTGTTTCCTGCTTCACAAAGGTAGGCAGCAGCTTGACAAAGCCATGATGGCAATTATTTTACATTATTATGGTATCGGTATCGGCCGATACTGCACAGCCAGGTATCGGGTATGGGTATTGGGGCCAAAAAATGGCATCGGCGCAACACTGCTCAAGGTGGCAGGGAGGGCATTCCACAGATGTGGGTGCAGTGGAGCGAAGGGAGCAGGTTGTGTTCTGTGGGTTGATAAGTGCATGTCCATGGATGCATTGATGTGTGAGGAGGGAAACCTTGTATTCATCCCTGGTGAAGATGGGAAGCCAGTGTAGTGAATGGAGAATGGGGGTAATGAGCTCATGTTTCCGTACTCTCATTAGGATCCTAGCTGCAGAGTTTTTAATGTACTGCAGCCTCTGCAGACTCTTTTTAGGGATCCCAATGAGAAGTGCGTTGCAATAGTCCGGTCTGGAAGGCATGAACCAGCTTTTCGGCGTCTGGGAGGGAGCGAATGGGACGGAGTTTGAAAATGTTTCGGAGGTGGTAGAAAGAGGTCTTGCATAAATTATTTAAGTGGGCTTCAAAAGTGAGTTGTGAGTCCATTCTTACACCAAGATTGCTGTTGATGAGAGTGGGGTGTTAGTACCAGAAAAAGTGATGCTGGTTATGGATAATGATTTGGTTTGATAAGGAGTTAAAGGATGTATTGGATGTTCAGATCCATACTGAGCACAGGCGGAACTTTCTGAAGGACTGGTGTGGACATGTCCCCACCAATGATTTCAATACATTGACTTTGGCTCTCAATGATATGCGGCACAAATTTCTAATTTGACATTGTTGCTTTTAAAGGAGGATAATCACTGATGTAGCTGGAAGGGAAAATATCCATCTATCAATCCACATATTTCTGGAAGGATTGATGGATGAATGAAACTGAAACAGTCCATAATAGGGAGGCATGATATGTTGCTTTTGGCATCAGAATCGGCTGTTATTCATCCTTTATACAAAAATGTCTAACTATCCATAAATATCAGTGTATTTTGGTTCTTCTTTTGATGCTAAACAATAGGAAAGCATTCAATAAATATGTTTGAGCTCATTTTTGGAAAATACAAACCCTATTGAAAGAGTTTGTGTAAAGTAACTGTAGGTCCATTAGTCACCGCTCTTAGATTGTCCCCACCAACTTTCTCTAAGTTACTCCCTTGATACTGAGAATGAAGGTTGATGTTCTCTCCAATTCTTTAAAGATGTCAGCCTGTTAATGCAGATAAATGTGTTTTTTGTGTGTTAAATGTATTTTAAACCACCATGTACCATTTCACTACACTGCATTAGAGGTATAGTAAACAAAAACTCCACTCAGGTAAGAATAGAAAAGTAAGTAGAAGAACCACTTCATCATAGTTTTGCTCAGGTAGGAGGAGAAAGTAGAAATTGCAAGAAATTAAGTGTAAACAAGAACTTACTAAGTACTGAGTGACTCATTACATCTAAAATTTGAAACAATGCTATAAAACAGACCAAAATATAAAAGTTATGAGGTACAAGGAAGCTTGTGTCGCAAAAGTAGGAAACTGTTTTCAACAAACATTAACTGTGTGTCTTTGTCTGGAACACGTACATAAAAATCAAGCTTGTTTGTTATTCAGTGAAGGTATTCACTTTTGAAACTCGTTTCCATGGAAGCCTGTTTAAGCTACACTCATGAAAAAAAATGATATATCTCATAATTATGAGATATTGCCTCATTATCACTTTCTGGGTAGGAAATCCATTAAATAAATAAAATAAATTACAATCTCCTTTAATAAAAAAATAAACCTTTTGAGTACTGCAATATTATTTTATGTAACATAATTCAACATTGCTATCTATCCATCCATCCATCCATCCATCCCTCCATCCATCCATCCATCCATCCATCCATCCATCCATCCATCATCCATCCATCCATCCATCCATCCCTCCATCCATCCATCCATCCATCCATCCATCCATCCATCCATCCATCCATCCATCCATCTATCCAAAAATGTATTATTTGTTCAGTCAGTTTCAAACACACCCCTGCTGTTTTTATGTAAATAAAAATAAATCTGTAAAAATCTGTAAAAGTTTCTAATGTATTTCCACTGCTGTAAGGTGATCTCTCCCCCCCAAACACCAGACTTCATTTAGATGTTGGTTTTTAGCCTAAATCTGGTCGTTCCGTCATACTCTTCATTTTGTCCAGAATTAGTTGTTGAAAATTGGGTTATTTTGGTCGGTCGGATTTTGCCCCGCTTTAGTCCAATAAAAGATGTTGAAAAGATCTGAATTTCAATAATCTGAAAATGAAGGCTTTTCACCTGTAACTTTTCAACCAAATGTAGACGTTGTTTGGATGTAAACCATGTCATTTTTTTCATTGTCTTGTTAACCAGTTTTTGCTCGGGGGGCTGGCTGTTTGTTTACAAATGGCTGCAGGATCAGTGGCTGATAAGAGGCCATCCAGTCCTATTTGTCCTTCTCTTATGTTTTCATTGCATGCTAATGACTCAAGCACCCTTTCAGCTGTTAAAAACTGGAAAACACCTTCTCAGCTGCTTTGTTCTAAACATGAATAAAATAACACTTTTGTTCATCTCCCTACATCTATATACATGTTAAGATATCATCAATAACCTGAAACATGTTTTTTTTTTCTATTGCAACATACAAATCATCCAAAAGTCAGAATACAAGTTGGGAAAAAAAAATATTTAATTTATGAAACTCCATAAAAAAGTGTCTTCAGATTGATCTAAATGTGTAAGAAATATTTGAGTATAAGGTTTAAAGAGGAACAGAACAATTAAGAAGGTTATGACTAATGAATTCGATGGACTCTAACCTAAAAGGTCTGGCAGGATGTCCTCTGACTTTTGACTGAACAACAAACCCCAGCCTCTGCTTTTTCCTCTCCTCTGCTTAGAGTGTGTGAAGTCAGCCGTCTGTCTGGCACAGGAGTGTGTTGATGTGCTTCCAGGTGTTTGTGGTAAATCCTAATGTCTGGACAGCAGGACTTCGCCACACCCTGTGAGATCATAGGTTTTTGTAATTAGCACGGATCCACCAATTACCAGGCTGCCTCTCTTTCTCCCTGTCAGCTCTTTAAAAGGAGTCAGAGCCACAGATTCTACAGAGAGCAGCTCAGGAAAGGTAAGTTCACGCTCTGTTTGGAGTAGTTTGTATTTTCTGTATAAAAATTATTTAAAAGAAGGCTGTTTCATCTTTATTTCCATATTCTCTATTCCAGATTTCCTTCATAATGTCTTCCAAAATACTTTGCCTTGTGACTTTGCTGGCTTATACTCTAAAATTGACCTTCACTCAGGGTAAGTAAAGTTTTATTTTCATTTCATATTTAAATCAAAACCCCTACTTTAATCCTTTTCTTTTCAAATACGAGTCTATACAAAAAATATATATATTCTAAAAATGCTTTTTACATATATGTAAACTGTCTTACTTGTACTCATCATTGTTTGCTTTAGTAAAGATTATTAACCCGAGGGGGAACCTGTGCACATTTGTTTGTGTCACTGGGCTCCAGAAATCAATCTCTGGCAGCGTTGTGGGGGCCGGGCCCCTGGAGGAACACAACAGCAGTGTAAACAGTATCTCCTTTTTGAACTCTAAAGTTTTTTTCCCTACAGAGAGCTGCAGAGGACGATGTGGTGCTGAGTACTACAGGGGCCACATGTGCCAGTGTGACTACAGCTGCCTGTCCTATGGAGAATGCTGCAGCGACTATGAATCCCAGTGCACCTCAAGTAAGATTTTACACGATGACCTTTTGTATGTCTTGGAACCAGTTCAGTTTATTTGTAGCAGACAAATATAAATGTGCTAGAAGAGGAGGGGAGGACACGCAGCAAAGGGCCCCAGGGTCAGGACTCGAACCCTAAACCTCTATGTTGAAGACAAGCCTCTATGATCATAGGCTTCACCTCTGCCATGCTCAACCACAATTTCAAAATAATTTGGTGTCTTAGAGCAGGAGCTCCCAAACAGAAACAGATTGGACATCCCTATAAATAAATATAATTACTTGAAATAATTATATTCACATTTAGATTAATGTTATTTTTAGATTACATTTAATTAATGTCCTATTCTATGATGTAAAATACACATTTGAAAGTGTCAACTAACTATTTAGTGGTGATTTCTTTTTAAATGAAAGGTATATTGATGTTTGAATCATATATTAGATTAATAAATGACTAAAAGTTAGCTACTTCTTTCATGTTCTATTTATTTATTTCATGGGACATTGACATTTAAATAATTTATGACAGGTTTTGTCGTTTCGTGACCCCCACTTTGAAAACGCCTGTCTTAGAGAGACTGATTCAAAAGACTGCCTAGCAACAGGGATCTGAAATTTTATATTTTGTATTTTGCAAAATATTAAGCAGGGGTGGGGTGATAGATCACGACAGATAAAATATTATTCTGTCAAATAAAAAAGAACTGCTATAAATATATTACAGAAGTTATATATGGGTAGTATTTATGCACAACCAGATATTTCCATACACAATAAATTACAAAAAAGTTTTATTCTCAGTATTTAACCTTAAATAAAACTAAGCATCTCTTATTTAATTCCTGTCATGATTGACAACAGAAACAATTCTGCCTAAAAAAAAAAATCAACTTTAATAAATCAAGAACAGCTCCACAACTATCAGGTCTAAATGTAGAGCTGACAGAAGGCATCAGAAAACTAATAACTGCTTAGGGCCCAGCACAACTTGGGGGCCCCAAAACTACAATTAATTATTTTGTTTGTTTTTTTTTTGCATAAGGAATATTTGATTGTATAAATAAAGTAAAAATGCATAATTTCATGATATGTTTTATTTTCTTACATTAAAATATTCTTAAGCAGGCAGACATCATTACTTCATTAAATTACATAGAAAAACAACAACATATAGGTTTTGGGGCCAGATTGACATACAGACAGGGGAAGATCGCTGTAAACTTCTGAGACACAAGTTATCTTTGGAGAACAAAGCTTAGCTTGATATTTTATTGTTTATTCCTTTTAATCATGTAAGCTTTCATATAAATTCTTTCTTTATTCATCAAAGCTATTTTATTTCTTTTTACACAGTCTTTTATTTTTGAACATTCCTGTAGCATATGGAGAGAAAAAGTATAAACCACATGATGCGTTCACCCCAATTAAGCTACATACCAGATTATTTTATTACCTTAAGTGACTCTCAAATGAGGAGACTGCAAACAGCACTACCACAGGTGCACTGAGTGTATAGTAGGTATGTGGCTAATCTGATAATTGGATTGTTAATTACAGGAACATACATTATTGGCAAAAATAGGGGCCCCAGATATCTAATGTTGCTTGGGGCCCCAGAGAGGCCAGAGTATTTATCAGTATCAGTATGTATTTATCAGTATAGCTATAGCATATGTTGACTGAATCAGTGAAAACATATGTTATCCATCGTGGTTTTATTGTGTCATTAGTGGAGGGAAGGCGGATCTGTCGTTTTGGCAAAATTCAGCCAGATGTGCCTAAATTGTGCTTCATAAAATGGAATCTGGTCAAATAAAAGTTCTGATTTCCCCTGCAGGACTCCTGCCCATGAGCCTTTGGTCAGAACACACAACAGAGCGTAAAGCACAGAGGTTATAGCAGTGAATACTTTTATAACCTGCATTAGGCATGGGCATTACAACTGAAAACTGCTGAAAAAGACTAAGTATTGGTTGTTGATGCTATGACTGCCTAGTTTCCAGGCACAGCAGCCATGAGGGGCGGAGCAACAATGTTTCTATGTCCTGAAGCCTTTTTTTGGGAGATTGCATATTCTGTGTTTAAGTTTCTGTCAAACAAGAAATATTTTTGAAAAAACAACATTAGTGGGGGGTTTTAAAAGTATAAAAGACTCCCACTTCAAAGTTTGTTTTTTGTAAAGGACAATAATGGAAGGGGAAAGTGGGCGTCTTCCTGTCCTTGGCTCGGCACCGGGCCCATATTAAGTTAGATAAGTTTCTGTAGCATTTGGTGGACTTTAACTGTGTAAATTGTGTCAAATGTTCTGGGTCTCCTTTCTACAACTTTCCACATTATCAACCGAATTGGGTCTATTTGGTTGCTTTGCTCAGGCAGATCTTTTCACCTCTATTTCTAAAATACTGAAATCAGAGCATTGCTTTAGCCAGTCCAAAATATTGACTTGGTTGTCCTCAATAAGCCTCTTTGTGTGCAGACATGCTCAGCATAATGGTTCTGGCATCTCAAGATGCTGCAACATTTCTGCTTTAAATGACTCCTAACTGCAGTAAAGTGTCTCAATTTTAGTGCTCAGTCAATGCATTTCAGTTGAACTGTGCAGAAGTGTTGTGTTTTAAGCTTCAGGGCTTTATTTGTGTCACAGAACACTCCTGCAAGGGCCGTTGTGGAGAAAACTTCAAGAGAGGTCGGCGGTGCACCTGCGACTCTGATTGCTTCAAGTTTGGCCAGTGTTGTCCAGATTATAAGGCCCACTGCGAAGCGGATGGTAAGCCTTGAAAAGCAAATAAACGAGTAATGATTGTGATTTTATTTTCTGCATGTGGAACACTTTATTCAGACTTTTACAGAATTCCCAAAAGAAACTACAAAGACTGTAAAATCTAAAACTGTATCCAACAAACATTTTTGATGAAATTCAAACCTGATAATGAATCCGGCTGCATGTGCACCAGCAGCATGCTCAGAAGCATGGACAGCATCATCTTAAAATGCATGCAGTTAACCTGCACTGATGCATTTGATGGTATTTTCTGTATTGATAATTACTGCAGAAAAGAGGGGAGCAGCAACAGGACCAATGAAGAGTAATTCATGTGATAATGTACACAATAACAATCCCAAAGGTATTTTCTTTATTGCTTAAAGGTTTGTAATATTTTGAGCCTTAAAGGTAAAAAATAAGCAAAATCCAAAAGAAATTAATAATTAAGTAATATTTACACATGAATATTCTCACAGAATCAACTCTGACGGACGACCCTTCATTGGGCGAAGGAAACAATGCAGGTGAGAACTGATTTATTTATAGATTTTTATTTTTGTTTTAAATGCTGCACTGAAAGCCTCACTCAAACCATTCTAAGCTAAGGTCAGGAGTTTCACATTGCCAGTTTTATGTGGAAAGAAAGCTGGAAGATGTGTACCGATCGTTGATTAAAGCTCTGCCATCACTGACCAGAGAAGCCAAAGGAAAAACAAAGAGGCAGTGTTGTTATGAGGAGGAGGAGGAGAGCTGGACTCGGGTCACATAAAAGAACGAAGCTACAGGAAAAACGATTACATAACACGTTCCCGCCCTTTCATCTAATTGTATGGAGGATTTTTATACTTAGAAATGGAAAATCTTGGCATTTTCAGTTAACTTTGATAGAATAGAATATATATTAACAGTAAAATCTACAAATATTTACATTTATTCTTTCTCTGTTTTTCCTAATTATCTGCAGATGACAACTCATTTACTCCAGACAGTTCAGCAACACCGTACCCACTGAATGATCTAAGTGATGGTGAGCAGAGGAATCTCTAGGTAAAGAGTTTAGCAAACAGCTTTTCTTGACATTAAAAACCTAAATCTTTCTGTGGCAGATATTTTTGGTGAGATCTTTCCGCTTGATGACCCTTCCACTAATGGAGATGGAGATCCGGAAGCGTCTCCAGGCCCAGAGATCATCAGTGGTGATGGATCAAATCCGGCTGAACCTCTGGATAAAATCCCAACAGAAGCAACTCTGGTTACAGGCGATCCGGCGTTCAGTACGGAGACACCTGAGGTGTCTCCTGCAGATCTCATTTTTACTCCAGCAACTCCAAGCAAAGGTGTGTGATGTTCAGTTTTCTATCATCATCTGGAATGGGTTACATACTTTTATTACCAACCATGCTAAAGGTATTAAAAAACTACAAAAAAAGATAATGGAAGGAAACCAGACCCGCAGCATCCCAGTCCCTACACTCTAGATAACAATGGGCATAAGGTGAATTTAAAGGTCCTATTTTATTCTTTTTTAAGCCTCTCACAGTCATCTATGAAGAAAGAAGTCAAATAAAACCTGTACAAATTTTCCTCAATTCGCTTTGAAGGAAAGCATCTTTCAGTCACCTCTCCCATTTCATGACGTTGCTGTACTGAACCCCGTCTGAAGGCTAAACAAAGTCACAGACCTTTCAAAGATAAAATTGATTTGACCTGTAATCATCTCACTCTGCCTCACAACACCCCTTCCTTATCAGAGAAAATGGGGGTTTGTTTACAGTGCAGGCGCAGCGCGGTTAAGGAAGGCGCTTCCTGAAGGGGGCACTCTTTCAGAGATGCTCTCCAACCGCTCCTTTCTATAGGACAGAACTCATGAGGACTAGCAGAGAAGCAGGAGAAATGCTGCTTTGTGCCG